CAACTAGTTGTATATTTTTCACAGGAATTCATGTACAATCTACTTTACAATAATAAGCATTCGACTTCTTGGTACGTTGGATTTTGCCATAAAAGCACTCGTTCAGACCCCACCAGCCCTCCCACCAACCCATTTACACTCGCCAAGGCGGTAGTTTTCCTACAAGGAAAATTAAGGGGTTTCCCAAGTGATCAAATCGCGACTCCCAGAGTCGCAGCAAATCGACAAAAAGCCATTTTCCATTAGTGGAAATCCACTGACTTTCCTACAAAGTGCAAAGCAATGGCATGAGAAACCCCTACAAATGGAAAGCCACGAATTGTACTTGATTTTAATGTTTGACGATTTTTCAGTGCTCCACACTAAACGTTTAATTTGTCAGATTTCCCCCTATAAAAGACCGGATTGTGGTGATGTAGCAGAAAAAAGGCATAAGAGAAGTTCCACAACTAATTACCATCAGCATTTTTTTTACGTGTGCAAAGACGTAAAATGAACTTTCATTAAGCCATAACCCTACATCACAAGATACATATTTCCATATTCACTCTTTTGGGGTCTATAAATAATTCCACACATGATTTTAAATTTCAACTTAATTAAGAAAATATGAGGAACTTTGATATAGTAAAGTTAATAAAACAAGGAAATTTCCCTCTCTTTCGCCATATACATTTTGCTGTGACTATGCCGTGGAGAGTTCTCAGTGTGTGGGCGATGAGATAGAATCGCATTGCTGTGTTGGGAAGGAAGTGGAAAAAAGAACAAGTTGATAGTTTGACTTTTATAGCACTGAAAATGCAAAAGAGCATAAGTTGCTTATGGATTCCGTTCAGCACGCATCACACTTTTAAGTATCCTCACCCATTTTGTGTTGTATATTTCACAAATAATCATACCAAGTCCTCGTCACTCATAGACACCATTTGAGTCCCCCTCCTTATATGTACAACTATAATGCTATGAGTAATATCCCTAAGCATTGTACATACATATAATAACTCAACACACGCAATATTTCCAACCCATATTCGCCAGGCGAGTAATTGAAAAGTATCCACGAGCCGCGTGAGTCTTAGATATTACTGAACATTTGTATCTCGACAAAAAAAACCCTTTTTCCCATCCCGTAAAGCTTTGCGTTTTTTTTTTATCTATCGAGAGGATCAGTTGAGAGTGGAAAAGGCAGACAAATGAAAATGAAAATTCCATACGATTCTCTTATACCCACAAAAATACAATTCACTTAATGACTTTCTGTGGTGTATCTCTCTTATCCTCCAACAGGAAAAAGTGGGAAACAGGCCAAAATAAGGGTAGTTATAGGGGAGAGAGAGGCTGTCGTAGACAAAACCCACTTCAAACACAAACTGGATGAAGATTTTTCCCAAATATGACCTTTCAAATATTCAAAAGTAGGAAAAGTGATGAGTCTTCGCTTTAAAATACATTTTAGGAACACATGTGATCGTTAAAATTTGATTAAAATCAGGAAATTGCGGTCACTTGCATGAACTCTAAAATCGACATTAGAGAAAATTATATGAATTTTTACACGAGAAATTCTAATGAAATCAAAAGAAAAATTATGTTGTCTCTGCCCTTCTATATATTCCATATCTGTGCATCTACGTTCGTATTCGAAGCCCTGCGATGCCCAATTTTAATTAAATACCTCTGGCAAACTATTTACATTGCGTAATCCTTGAGATCATTATAAAATCCTTAACTCCCTTCACAAGGAAAACCACCACGACTCGACGATGTTGCAAAAACAGACGAATACACATGCAAAATAAAATAAGAAGTTTTCCCCCACGGAATATAGCGAGAAGAAATTTAATTACGTTTAAAATGCTTCGCGAGATGGTGGGAAAAATCTACTGACTTAAAATAGTTTTATATCATATCGCAATATCTGACAAATTATTTTCCACTTAATACAATAATTAGGAAAGTTGCCGCCCACACTCACGCCAAGGATATAGAAAGTTTTTGAGAAATTCAACTGCGGATACGTGAACAGGATGAGAAACAATTTTGATTCTCAAACCATATCCTACAGCAAATGGGCGAGAAACCATGAGAAGCTAACCGATACTTTACATGATACAAAATTTCATGGATGTTGCCTTTTTTTAGTCCATCATACTCTCAATATCTCTCACTCACTCTCTCGCCTCTTCACGTATTACATGAGAATGTTCTTCTTAATTACTTTTCCTCCCAGCATTTGATAGAAACTTGAGGAGAGAGTGTGTTCCAAACTATAGGAAAAACCCAGTCCTCTTTGTTAAATCATCTCATGCCAATTAGAAGTTTAATCGTATTCAAAACTTTATCAACTAATCTCTATATCTCTACACGCTCTCCACCGCACAGCCCCAAATATATTTTACGATGGAACGGGAGCCACACTATGGTGCGCTTTTGTGGGCTCCTTGTGTGTGAGATTTGTGGGTGCAAGTTGGAAAATTTGTTCATTATATTGACTCTATAATTTCTCTCTCACTCTCCTCCCTTCGCAGCCCTTTCTCGCCGCCACACATGTTATATTTACACATATAACACGCCCCCTCGGGCCACCGCCGCCCCATCAATGAAGATATTTCTGGGAAACAGAGAGAGTGAAAACTTACATTCCACAAGCCATTTCACCATGATTGGATCAAATTGCGCTATGCGCATTAATTCATGCGAAACTAATAAAATGTGCAATTAATTGCCGAACTGCATAAAACCAGCATTACGTCGAAAATTGTACATAAAAAACGGGAAAACTAAAGTAAGGTGCAGCCGATCATGTGAAATGCATAAATAATGGAAAATGATGCGGGAAAAATCAATATATTCAACTTATATTCTCTGCATTTCAACGCTACCTGTTTAGTTGAATATTATAAAACTTACAAAAATATCATTTTTAAAGCGCTAAAAAGTGTGGAGCTTTCACAGCCTATTTTGCTAACTTATAATGGGTTCAATTTATTTACACACCGTCAATATGACTATTTCTTCTTCCATTAATCCTCTTAAAACATCAAACCCACCCACATTATTTCAACCCCTATGGACAAGTCATATTTTCACCCTTTGGCTCAGCCCCTCCATCTGTAATTCCACCCTAAAAGTCACAGCCTTTGTGTTTCACTCTGAATTTATGATTTAAAAGCTATTCAGCTGTGTGCACCAGTACTCTTTCAATGAATCGCAAGCGTTATAAACTAAACAAGCTTATTTTTTCTCTCCACAACCCCAAATGAAGCCCTCTTCCGTATAATTCAATTAGACCGAATCATTACAGGTGATCATTATTAAATATGTAAAACTCTATTCTAAATGTCATCTAATATAAATTAATGCTATTAGCCGTTATACTATAAATTAAGTGGTTCACTTGAGTTTGACAGTAATAATCATTTAATTAATTTTATATACTGGGGGAAAATTCCCATACAAAAACTCAGATTATTACCTCGCATTTGTGCGGCTTTTTTGCACACTCTCTCACCTCATCCAACACTCCATCCGCAGCCACCCACTCAAACCATCCGTTATTTGGCTTTATATGTCATTTTAAAAGAGGAACATACATAGCAAACGCCAAATGAAAACACCAGGAAATACTACCCATCATTTTTTCGGGCATGGAATTATGGTGTGTGCGCAGAGTATTAAAAAAAAAACCCAATGGCTTATCATCCGTTTAATAGAGAACTTTTCATTTAACATCAAAAGCACCGCACTCAGGGCATGAGGTTTGTGGGTGGGGGCTAAAATAGATGCTTTTTGAATGTAAATCATCTTTTTACCACTTTAGTTGGGCTATTCAATGCCAAAAGCTCAGGGAATGAGTCCGGAGAGCCAACCCGGTGACCGGTGGCGATAAAAGAGGAAGTTTAAAATTTAATTAAATTAAATTTGTTGTGCGCTATATGCACAAGCCCGGAAAGCAGCGTGCATATTTTGCTCCGGTGACTGTCGTCATCCAAATGGATTTTCATACTTGCATTTATACCCATTAAACAACATCGTGTCCACTTCAATAAAATTATATATTAGTCGAGTGTACAACCCCATCAATACACCACGCTTATTTAGGAAGATTTAATTGGATCACATTGGTGGATATGGATTTTTCCATCGGCTTTTTCCACGCGCTCACTTTGACACATGAGTCAAGCCGTTGACAAGAAAATCATTAACGCTCAGTGGTGTGAACAGTGACAAAAGTCCCCAATGTTTATTAGTTCAATTTCCCTTTTTCTCTATTGCTCTCTGTTGCGCAATCCATTTTCAGGAGCATATGCATAGTTGTTTGCATATAAATAATAGCTTCTAGCTATTATGAGATTATGAATGAAACACGGAATTTTGATCGTTTTAGTAAGGCAATTAAATTAAATTGTGTGACCGATGCAACAAATCAAAGGTAGCAAGAATATAGGGAAACCGAAACTAAATGTTTACCAATCGAACCTTCCACTCAAAGTATCTTTATTTATTAGTTCAGGAAATGAAGTCGAGAGAGATATGGAAAATATTCATTTCTCAAAACCGAATATTTAACTCTGTTCATTACAATGCGACAGGGATTAATTAGACAAATCAGAACATGTTGTTCCGTATATTACAATTTTGGATCATATTTGTAGCAGGAAACTGATTATTTTGCCATGAGAATTCTTGCAAACTCATAAACGATTTATAAATAAATATCAACCTCATTATTTTCGAACTTTGCAGTTTCCCTGCTGGGATAACCCAAAATCACTCTTTTTTCGATTTCACCCCATTTGTGCCCCTGTCACAACCACTGAGCGCCTTGGTAAAATCCACAACCTTGTCCTGTGACTCCAATTGATAGTCTCCTCGTCGACAAAGACACGTACATAATGGCCACCATCAACAGTGAGTGAGGGGTTCATTGGCACTCACAAATTGTGGATAATGAAGTAATGGCTTCGGGTGGAAGGTAATTAAATTTTTTCTGTACTCACGAGATCCATAGATTGGTTGTGTCCATATCAGGAGGATAAAGAGTAAAAGTGCAAGCATGGGAAATTTCGATGCCGTTGGTAGAGTGTCAAGTAGAGGATTCCTCATTCTCCTTGTCGTCACAATTTTCCTTTGAGTGGATTCTTGCTGGCAGGACTCCTCTATGTGCCTAGACAATTAGAATTGCAAGGATTTTCCTGTGATTGCTCAAATTCACACAATTGATAGATTATTTCATGAAATGTACTCCAGAAAGAGATCATTATATTCGTATTTCCCTATCTTTCTTTTCTCTTCTTAAGCAAACTTGGATGACCCAGGAATGGAAAAAGGAAGTTTATAATAGGAAGGTACTTTTAAAATTTTCTTTATCTATTAACACACTCTTTAATGAGAATGTTTACACTCTTCAGTCGTGTTAGATTTTCACATTTGCAATGTCTCTACGTCTTCACAGCATTTCACACCATCGCACACACATTTTCCGCATTCCCGTTGGTGGCATCCAAAGTAGAGAGATCCCCATTTTAATGTACTCCTATCAGGTTCATTATCGGTTGCGTAACCACCAACACACAGTATAACAATTGTTTAACAGACAATTACATTAACATCGGAGAGTTTTCGGCATGGGTGGCAAATAGGAAAAATTTAATTAACACAAGTCACAAATAGCCCCATTTTCGCATTCACTTCGCCACATCGCCACACAAAACACATCTCGGGAAGCGATGTTCATCCATTTCGACACATGCCTCCGTGATGTGAGACATACTTTCGCGAAAAATTTAATGCAATTCAACAAGGAGGAAAAAGGCGAGTAGCACATACAGTATCTCTCCGTATAGCGAAATCTCGACGAGAGATGATAATGCCCTGCATACGGAATAAAGAGTCTTGTGCGGTTATACGCTTCCCTCCTCGATTTCATTAAGTCTTTCCACTATGCTTCTCCTTGTGCAGCATTTTGCATACGAGAGCCCAGACATTAAGGAAAACTTTGAATTAGAATTGCATTGCCTCACTTCTCCTTATACACTATTACATTACATAAATGTTTATAATGTGGTTTCTCGCCCTCATTTGCACATGAAAAATTCTCTACATTTTTATCGACTGCATATATTTCAATTGTGATTCCCCGGTAAACAAACGCTTGATGTAGGGCATATTTTAGTGTTTATCCACTGCATTAGTCTGCCACACTCACATTCTCCACACCCTATCTCACTCTCACCTACACTTTACACACTTACTATACATTTTCCACGCTATACAGTCTCACAGGACCCGAGGAAAATTGACTACATCTTTCCCCGTTGACTTATCACTGAAGTACTATCGAGAGTGTGTACTGAGACACTCTATAAAGCCCTCCACTAAACAAATTCACTCCCCTCGGCTCTAGAGCGAGTTCTCCCGATACTTCACGAGGACTTCCAGGGACATTTTCACCCCTTCAGGGGAAAATTACAATTTTGCCATTTCCAAGGTAAAAATGAACATTTTCAGGTCAATTCTGTGCTGTAAAACTCTTAAAATCCAAGCTTCAAACAGACAATTAAATATCTCAAAACATCCAGAAGCAAAACCTTTAGAATGCGAAGATGATCCTAAATCCCCTGAATTTTCCCGACCTGCCCAGTTACCACAATTCCCCTGAAAATCTTCGTGAGGGGCATCGTTTCCCCGACTTTTGTAGACATTTCCACCCCTGAAATTTCAGCCACAGTTGAATATCACTTTTAGCTTCCACCTTAGCGTATATGAAGTTATGTTGAGAAGCAGGACGAATCAGTTTTTTCCCGAGCATTCATCATAAAACTATATGTCGACTCCTCGCGAGAGTGAGCTTCATTTTTCCGCAAAATATCTCGTGTGATTTTTTTTCCTGTTACAATGCCACTGGGAGGGTTGTTTTCCAACGCCAAAAACGGAAAGCAACCCCCCGAAATCTCAGAGTGATTTTTTCCATTCTTTTTTTTTGCTGCTGTTGTCCTCTTTTTTTCTCCTTTTTTCTCTCTCTGCACATTTCTAGAGGGATTTGTTAAAATAAGTGCTCACTTCCCTGATAGAGATATTCATCGCAATTTCACAGAGGATATCAACGTCTGTAAGTTGTTGTCTCATATTATTTCGCAAACATTTTGCACACTACTTAATAATTAAGTGTATACAGTCTTAGTGTAAGGGAAGAAGTTGAACATTTTCTGCAATGAGTGAAGGGAACAAGAGTGGCTAAATGTACTTTATATGAAGGAAGAGACAGGGACTGAGTTATTTGAGGGGTTAATTGCAGGAATTTCTCAAGAGATAGACGGGAAAAATACAAGATGAAATGTTAGTTAAACATGCAATTGCAATCATGAAAAGCTACTGCAATATAGACTTCCTTCTACCATGGCACAGGCTAAGAATCTACCCCAAGAAGTCTCCCTCACTCTCTATTGCCCTCAGACAAATGGATGTGATTTAAGAGTCCGGTGTTTTGCTCCACTCGACACACGAGCCCCAAGAAAAAATTGGGAGAAGAAACCACCCCCGAAAAAAAAGCCCGGCAGGAAAAAGGGCGACATGAATACCCAGGAATAATGGTTTGAAAAACAGCCCCCCAAATTTCAGGAAGGAAAAATATCAATGAGGAGTATAAAATTCTATATCCGCTCCACGCACACACATAAGGCATTACATTGTGAATTTCTGTTCATCTCTCACCTTTCACCAAATATATATCTCCGTTTAATACCCTCAGCATTGACTTACATTGTAGCGCATATTCAAATTATGTGTAAAGGTGTGCGCTTATATTTGTATATAATATCCTCCTGAACAAAACTGTTGAATAAAACATTATGCAAGAATATGGAAGATACAACCACAAAATATCCCCCACGCCCTTTTCCTAAAAACATTACACATCTGACTGAGAGGCGTTCTGGGAGTGAGAGAAGCAAGACTAAACATCAGTCAGTGCTAAAAGTAAAGAGTTGGAAAACCCCTTCACTTTTCTACATCCTTCTTTTCACCCTTTCTCCCCCCCCAATATTTTCAGCTCGCTCTCCTCTCCTGTATAATAAATATCCTATTCAGAAATCTGTCCATCATCTACACAATTGGGAAGATGTGTGAAATTATTTGTAGACTTTTCTCGACCCACCTTCAACCATTTTTCCCCCACATAACATGCTGATATTAAAAAATCTTCCCACTGAGTTGCGATTTTTTTTCACGCTTACGTTATCAAAAATTCTATTATAATATGGATATGACTATTATGCATAAATATCGAATCATATTATTTTCCCCTCGTCTCCACGCTCCGCGTTCAATCTGCGCTCGAGTCCCGGCAAAAGGGGGTGAAATTGTTACTAAAGCACACTGCTCTTTCTGTACATTATATCAATTGGCAATTTTTGCTAATTAATCCCCAAAGTTGGAAATGTATCCTTTTCAACTTCTCTCTCATTTTATACATTTTTACGCCCATCAATTCTCCCATTAGCCATTGGGTGGCAATTTTGACGTTAATTTGCTCCATGCAAAATTTCTGCAATAATTATTGGAGAATGAATGGAATTTATTTAAATTCAGAGTTAGTTTTTTTTCATGTATTTTCCATAAAAATATATACACACGAACAAAACTTTTTACTGAATCAAGAAATTTGCAATTCTGTTCATTTCGCTTGGCGCTCAATTTAGACAAATACATACAATTATGAAAAAAAAATTGTATAACCCAAAATAAACTATAATTTCCAATATTAATCTAGATTTCTTTTCCATAGCGAATGACTATATTATCATTGACAAATTATTGTCTATTTCATCCGGCGCGAGATATTCCACCGAAATTCAAAAAATAAGAAGACATACTCGACTATAAACAGAATTTTTAACAAAATCGAAACTAATAAACTACGCCCATTTACACGCTCCGCCCACTCGCGTGTTATTCGGAAGTTTCAAATAAATAATAAATGTTAGGAAATCCGCACATAAACTTCCCATTTCCGCAATAATAAATTGATAGAATATAAAATTTGATCTCCAAATAGTGTGTTGATTTGCAATTGATAGAATTTAAAAACAGTAAATAATATTGGAATCTGCTTTCAACCAGATGCAAACAATACGTAAAAACCGTGAACTTTAAACTGATGGTATACGATCAGAAAACATTAAATGACCTCAAAAATAGAATCTGCATTATTAAAAATAGGGAAATTGAGATCGATTTGCACACCTATTCGTTGACAATTATGCATGAAAAGAACTCAATTTGCTTTTATATACAGATACATATTGTACTTTTTCAAAGACAGTAACTTTCTTTCCAACTCGGAAAAGCAAGTAAAGTTTCCACGAGAACATGCTTTGTGTGTTGAATGGAGATTTTCAACATTTTCATCTGAACCAATCTATTTATTTTCAAGTCACTGTACAATTTTTTTACACAACATTAAGTATCATATCGATAATCATTACTCACTAGGTCATATTTGGATATTTCCCTTGGGCGGAAGCAAAGTCGAGTTTGGAAGAGGAAGCAATTTTAATTCTCTGCCATTCGCGTTCGACTTCTCTCTCTAAACTTTCTCTCCGTGTTTTTCATCTTTCCTTCCCTGCTTAGCATACTTCGCTGGATTTTCAATCATTGGCACTGTGTGTCAATTTGGGGCTGGCAAAAGGCAAGATTCTCAACGCACCGACTGTATTTTATATCTTTCTATGTGAGGAGGAAAACTTACAAATTCCGTCACCATTTGCCAAGGAGAAGAGATCACTTGAATTCAACAAATAACCACATAACACTGGTGAATAGCAATGTGTCTCACACGTAGCATTTTTCCTATATTTGCCATCTCCTCTCATGATAATTCTTCCCAGCCCACCGGTGATGAAGGCGGAGGAATTGGGAGCATATTGAAATATAGAATAGGCTAGAGAGAGAGTATGAAATCTAAGGGCACGCTCAGGGGCCAAAATGAAATGTATAGATCTTATTGCAAGTATTAAGGAAGGAAAAATAACGACATACATTATTCAAATTTTACTTTTGAATTGCCCTAATAAAAAGTTGATGGTTGTGGCAGCTTTTTCATCATACCCCACACAACTCTCGCTCTAGTGCCGAAGCTCCTTTAGGGAGGGAATGGAAAAGACCAGCGCCAATCTCCAAATGTCGCTGCGACAAAAAGCGATGAATTTACAATGCGCAATGTCCAAAAATATGAGAGACGAAATGAAACAACTTATTCCTTATACTCATAGGAATTTTGTATTCGTAAATTTTGAATATTACTTTGCAATGACTTTTTCTACAACCACTCCTGCTCATTTATTTTTCAAAAATCATGCGCTCTCCACATAATGTTCAGCAAACCAAGAGACATGGAAACCCTTAAGGAAGTTATGTGAGAAGTATTTAAATGCAATTATTCTTATTTTCCCCGCACTGCACTCTTTCAGTGCTTTTGTCCCTTTTTCATTCCACAAGCAGAATTACATGCATTTTTGACTACACAAGACCATCTTCAAGCAAACTTAAAATCCAAAGGCTTGAGGAAGACACCACTTGAAAATATTTACGGTACGGTCATGAAAACATTGAATAAAGAAATATATGTCGCCGGTAATTCTTGGCTCAAGAGAGGCGAGTTGGATGGCTATGGGAAGAGCGGAAAAAATAACACTAAAAGCAAGCAAAAGAAACTTAATTATGTTTAGAAGGTTGAAAGCTTTTGCTTGCAGCTTCATCTTTTTCCATTTCTGGGGAGTTATTCGCTCTCTCGCCACCAGGAAATACTCTATACTAAAAATAGTTCATGCTTTGATAGAGGAGACCAACGGAGAAACACCAGAAGATCCTTTTACACTTTGGCACAACTTTTCCTGGATGTATATATGGGGTTTTGTGTACATCAACAAACTAAATTATCAAATTACTTCCAAATAGACTTTGTGTGTCTCGTCACTTCCTTCTTTTACCCCCCCCCCCCCCACCCACTGCCTCCCGCCCGCCTTAACCCTTAACCTATCCACCAAAAACCACTCACACTCTCGCCGTCTGTCAGATAAAGTTCAGCCCATTTTGTCTATTATATTTTCAATATCATATAAACAAACTACCGTAGAGCACAGGTAGCTACTCGTCGCCACATAGAAAAAGCCACAAGTTTGCATGCGCCCGCCTGAGAGATTGAAAGCGATCCCCCACTCATCCATTTCGCCCGCCATCAGCGTGCGGATCAAGATGGCGAAAAAAGCTCAAGTGGAGGCTAAATTGTCACCTCTCAGAGGATGATAATTGAATTGGGAGTAAAATTTGAAACTTTCAACCACCCTCTAAAATCCACTCCAAACCCACCATCTCATTTTCAATATTATATTCATCCTCGTCGACAAATATCATGTAACATAGCATCATAAGCCAAAATGGATGCTTCCTCCGCACACACACACTTCACCCTTATATTGAAATTTAAGAAAATTCCACCCATGTACAACCTGCCATTTTGTGATATGCTACACTAACCAAATAAAATGGAATGCCATAGCACTCACCTAAACACCCGTTCGTTATTCGACGCTTAAGAATTTGAGCATCTTCACATGCGTTTCTCTGAAGTGAGATTAAAGAATTTTTTTTTCTTCAAGTGATTTGAGAAAGAAGTCCTTCGTCTGATGCAAAGCTCATAAAGGAGAAGGAAAAATTTCCACGTGACACCATGCTTTTTGTCTAGTCCACTTCTTTCATTTATTCAACAACTTATTCAAGGAGGAACAGCAAAGCTTTCAGTTTCATGGTTTTTATGTCGTTTGTAATTATATAAATGGCCCCGCTTTCCCCTACGGTGGCATTTTCTATGACAGAATATTACATTCATGAAAACATCTCTTCATTGCACAGTTCCCACAACTTGAGGGCATTCTCATGAAATATTTTCCCAATTTCACTGAAAGCTCATAATGATACAAGTTCATCTCATCACCTTTCTTCTATGCAATTTGCATAAACACGTGCCTTTAAATTTTGTATCCATGTTTTCACTCTCAAATATTGCTTTATTCACTTACACCGATCTTTTAGCACCGCACAAAAATACATCGCAGCCACTTCATCATGTATGAACGATGACAAAAAGAGGATGGAAAAAAATGTAAGAATGTAAGTGAATAACAAAACATGACATAAAAAAGGAGCTTACAATCCCTAAGGCGTAAAAGTTTCGGATCTCATGGCTTGATCAAAAAACCTCTGCGCGGTTGATGTGTTATAAAGAATTTTTCCTTCGTCTAACATGTCACATATATTTTCTAAACTTTCTGACAAATGTTACAAGAATATCAAAGTACTCCTTATGCTTGAATATTTAATAAATAAATAAAACTTTTATAACTAGACGCAGAGACGAGCTCATAACTTGAGGGATATGCGTTATGTATGCCATGTATTTTTTTCTCTCAGCCAGAGCCACTCATCTCCGCATCCCGCACCCTTGAAACTTTTCAACTCGAATACACAAGTCGTAAATCTCAGTGAGGAAATTTTCACCTCAATATTTTGAAGATGCCACCGCATATAGCTTTTTGCCGAGAATAATGAAGTAATTCGAGTAATTGCCGACAGTATCTGGAAAATCTTGCGAGAAGATTTTAATCTGGTCTGATGCTATCTTCTGATCCATTAATTTCCACCTTCTCTCCACTTTTGATATCATGTGTGTTTCCAACATGTTTTACACAGTGCAATTATCGCTTATACTTTATTTAAATCACTTTAATATCACCCCACGTCGGATGGTGAGTGAAAGAGAAAAGCCACATAGTATAACCGCCCTCCGATAAAAATCCCTGTACGCCCAAGTGCTGCTGTCGGATAGTACATGAAGCTCATGGAAACCATCTATGGTTGTTACATAAACCAACTATGCGCAATTTCTTTTCGCTCTCATGCTGATTTGGTGCCACCGCCGCCCTCCATTCATGCTCAATATTTGGTGCAAGTATGACACTTTAATATTAAAATACGACAGCTATATACTAGAATTGTGTGTGAAAATTTCAATATATAAAATACGGTATCATGTTGTAAAATGTATTTTATGCTACAACCAATGCCAAGTCAACACCCGCTGTTTTTATATTTTATACCCCCCCACAACGTCATATACATTAAAAGCCTCATGAAAACCACCCTTTCTCTCTCTCCCCCCTTCCCTCTCTCTCACTCACCATGGACAAAAAACATTAATAAAACACGGTAAAATATGTGGCATAATTAAAAATGTATCCACATTCATCCTTGGGAGCACTTTCTTCCTCCAGGAAACCCAAAGAAAATTGTTGGCGCCAAGGGAAGAGAAGTTCTTCCCATCACTCTATAGGCGAGATTATTTATTAATTGCAAGATAATGTGTTTTATATTCTTAATTCCTCAACCAACAACACTGGCAGACTGAGGCGTAAAAAATATTTCCCTGGGAAAGTAATGGAGTTAAATTGAGTTACCTTTTTCACCCTCATTGGAACTTCTTGCTCTCCTTTTAGCCCCATAATTCCATTTCATATATTTTTTTCCTCCTTCAGAATTCCCATCATTATATATGGTGTGTTGACGTTTGACGCTCTCGCCATTTCCCCCAGAACCGGATCTCAATAAATTGTCAAGAAATTCGCATTAGCCATAAATAAGTAAAAACATTTTCCCCTAATTATGCACTTTTTTGCCCTCAACCGTTGGCCTTTCTCTGTCCGACTGAATACATTCAATCCAACACACTCACTTGGGGATTGTTGAGAAAGGAGGAAAATGGCTCTCGACAAGAGTGTGGCTTGTGGGTGAAAATATTTGTTCAGGAAGGGCATAAAATGACCAAGAGCCCGAAAAAAGGAGGCGCACATTCAGCCAAAGGAAAACTGTACACACTCTTCAGACTGTGAAGGAAAATACTATGAATTGTTTGTGTGCATCGCTTTATTCTTTCACCTCCTCCCCCTTGGCGCCCACTCTCCTCATCATCATTGTCCATTTTATGTATACCGGATAAGGGGGAGGTGGTGAAAACCGTCAAGTTAAGTGCCACAAAACACGATGATTCTCTATAACATCAACCTCCCTCCAGCCCCATGGCCTCACACACTCTCTCTCTCTCTTCACTCTTATTTACATCATGCCATTTAGTTCCTCAAGCGTAATGAACACTTGCCATTTTAATATAACACTGACTGGGTGAGTGAGACTACAAAGCACAACACACAGTATACCTTATATGTGATTCTATTCTCTATTCCACATACTCTGTTAACTTTGGGCCGCTCATCCTACATACAAATCCATATGTACACATAGTACACAAGAGAATCAAATTTATGTTACACTCATAATAGTTTTGCGTCAAAAGTTGCATATGAAAAAGGCTTATTGGGTGGATGAGAGCGAGGGAGAAGTGCTTTATGTTTTTTCATGTTATTTGTGTTTAAATTACCACTCCTGACATCGTCAGTTCGATGGAAAGGTCCGCTTGAAAACACTGCATTAACACCATCCACCCACTTTTGTGATATTCAATCTCACAGTTGAACAAATCATATGTTATAGAATGAACCGTTGCAGAAACATAAATAGAACTTTTTGATCGTTTCAGGTAAAAAATAACAGAAAAATGCAGCGTACATTGCTAACTCGAATTCAAAGCCATACGGTGAGATTGAGATTTCTATTTTTCTTAAAGATCATTTGTGCGAAAAGTTCATGTCATAAAATCAATGAGGATAAATTATGAAATTTATCAGTAGATATAAAAATATTTCTTTCATGCTTGTATAAATCATCATTGTCTTGCGATAGTCTTCATGTTTATTTTCACCCTTTCCGGTGATAATTGAAAAATTTACAAAATATTTGCAACAACCACAATAGGTATATTTTGGCTTACCGCGTATTTCTGTAAATGTCTATAATGTCCCTCTCTCTCTCTCTCACACTCACTGGAAATTTGCAGAGATAAATAACCACTGAATTTCCTATTCACACAGAATTGTGGGCATGATTGTGGTGAGAAAATGAAGTTCACACCATTGAGAAATATGGTCCCGAGAGATAGAGATAGAAATTTCAGATAAAACCCTCTGCAACTGATCCCTAGAAGGACTATGGATGATCAAGAAGTCCCCAAACCTGCAAGCTTGAACAATTGACTCTTAATTTGAAGTGAGCAAGATTCCCTCTTCACCCCTTTTCTGCTTTCGCCTCATTTGACCATTGCAGTAAATTGGCACTTTTCCACAAATGCCCCTGCTTTCGCACCGCTTAACCGAGGATCCCGTGGAAAATCCCACAACTAAAATATTGCCAACTCTGCCCTTAATTCCCCCCTTGTTAGATATAACCATATAAAAGTCCCATAGCATTTTCACCCGCAGTGCTGGTCATTTTCAATAATAGGAAAGATGGGAATGTGGTTGGTTATAGATAGAAAAAAAAGAGTGGCAGCATTAAAATGTAAATTTCTCACACCCTTTTAACATTCATGGAAAGCGTGAAGAGAGGTTTTCCGGTGGAAAAATATTGGTGCAGAGAGAGAAAAATTCCTACAGGAGTGAAAATATCATCTTTATCATATTTATAAGAAACCATTTGGCATAAAAGACACATTTTAGCATTTGTGACACGATATATGACCTTACCCTTTTTCACCCACTCTCAACTTACCCACCGTCGCATTATTCGTGCTCACATTATATAAATTAAAGGTATATTATGTACATGGGTGAGAAAAATACATCAGACAAGGCAAAGGTGCTCCACACTCACATATGCACAATTTCACAAATTTTTATGAAATCCCAGATGAAAATACGGTACATTTGTGTGCAAACTATGATCCTCTGATATTATCTCCTCTCCTGCCTTCTGTCACAGCGATGAAATAAATGTAGATATGTGTCACTATATAGATACGTGAAGCAATGAGCTATAAACGTGACAAAAACCTCAAATATTCCCAACTCCTCTCCCATTGCCACCCAAGCCCATCGACCATTGCACATCGTCTCTCGGATAAATTCTCACTGGGTACTCACTATCACCCACTCTCTATGCAGAATAGTGTAAAAATGTAACTTGTGTATCATCATAACTTCATAATACATTTCAATATTGCAAATATATCTCCAGCAATATGTCATGTCTCTCTCGCTTCTTTCGCCATGTACACAATGTTGAGATGAATGTTGCATGGAATGCTAGAGATGTTCGCGAGGGGCAAATGTTCACAGTCTCTCTTGCCTTCTGATTAGATTTCTCAATGCCTGGAAAGGTTTGGTGTGGGGGAAAAAGGTCCCTTCATGTGCACAAAGGTGGAGAATCTCTTAAAATAATATTTCTCTAAATTATTCACTCTGTTCCGGAGTACATTTCAACATTGCGAAAGTGGGGTTAAATTTACCTTACCTGAAGTATTCAACACACACACTCACACTGAGACGAAAAAAGTGCGCAAATTTCCGTCTCTCAAGTCTTGAAACCAAATGTTGAAGAATGTATTGCTTTTTTTCTTGGTCACCAAACACCACAAAAATTGCTGAATCTGCAAAGAAAATAGAGACAAAGAGTATTAAAACTCATCTATTTCATTACTAGATGAAACTTTTATTAAATGCTTCCAATTTGTGCTTGATGGACAATTAGATGAAGTAAGCACTAGCTCCGCCTATTCGCATGCCCCGCCCCTTTAACTTGTTTAAGCTCTAGCGATTAATCACAGAGTCTCAGATCTACTATAACTGTTTCAAATTAAAATCCGATACTTTTCGCGGTCTTTCGCCCAGAGATCCTCAGATACTTGCCAGAATCATGTTAGAAAAAGTGTCACATCCTCTGTATTAGAATATATTGCTCACTGTAGCTTTCCTTCAGCCACGCAGTTTTAGGGTTAACCCATCGACCGAGGGTGTGCGGGGGGTAAATAGGAATATATGGGATGATATCAAGAATGAAAAATCTCGGCTGTAGAGTAAGAAAATTATTGATATGGAGTAATTTATGTTGGATTTTTTCCATGAGCTTCGCGGATGCTCTGAAAGGTCTATCAAAAGTGAATGTTTTTTTTTCCAAGGGAGTGAAAGACGGTCCCCGTGTGTGGGTGGTTATATGAAATCCTGATAAACGTGTGTACATTTGGGTGCGAGCAGAGGCGTGAGGGTTTTGGGTGGCAAGAGCTTTTTGCCGTGAGGGAGATGAGGCAAAGTGTGGTGAGAAAAATAACGAAAATTAATGAGCAAGAGCAGTCTTAGTCGCTCTTTTATATTGTGTTGCGTGGTTGACTGAGGGATTGGAAGCAATATTGTGCTTTTATATATGTGATGAGATTTAGGTATAATATTTAAGAAAAGCCCTAGCCCACAGACTCTTGTCAAGGTGCAAGTCGTGGGGGGAAAGGCTGGGGCGTGTGTGTGTGTGGAGACACTCGAGTGCTTCTTCCTCCCCTCTTAGAGCTTTTTTCTCTCGTCCTGTGCCTTTTGTAGGCACACAGACGAGGCGGGGGGAACTGTACTATGGGATTATTCGGGGATAAAATTCCACGCTGTGGTAAATCTAACCGCAACCACCAGAGGATAATGGTACCGTAGAATACGTAAACAGTTGACACGGGGAGATATTTTTTTCATATACATATACTCACCAAGCTTTTCTTTCCCTATTGTCTTTTTTACACTTGTCTTTTCTTCCTCTCTCGCCCAGACATTGGGATTTTATTCGCACTGGAGTTTTAGGGCTGAGCACGAGGAATTCCTTCTTTCACCCATCACCCAGTTTGGAGGCAAAGTGCTTTTATAAGATTTATGAATTATTGCGTCGACAATATGAAATATGTAAGCATTTACCAATATTCTTCAGCGGGGAAGATTGAATCTCCCTGAGACTGTCAATAGGTTATAAATTTTATAAAACATACAACACACATTCTGCAACAACTTTCAATATTATATCCCATACCGCGCGTGAAACTTCTCAACGTACACCTTGTGCTCACGGCGCTGAGGGTGAAAAAAGTGTATACCATTTTGTCGGCTTTATGGCAAATTGCCGTATCTGCATGGGCGCATTTCCCATGCTGATCACTTGAGAAGCACATTGATCAATTATGTGTGAATTTTTAATAAACTTTATCAGTCTCTGTCTCGCCAATTTGGCGTCTCGCAGCAACACGCCATTGCTAGATTACGATGAATGCCGATGAAGGCGACAGTTTATTCTTCTTCCAAAACGCGCCCCATGCAAGATGAAATGAGGGTGTGAATCTTTAGACGTGATGGGCAAGGAGGGTGGCGCGCGGGGTGGGGCTTCAGCATGAATTTGATAAAGCAGGAGAGAAAAAAGCAGGCAAGACGAAGTGTATAATGCGAGAAGATATATGAACAACGATTATAGAGTTGAAGTATATTTTAGCAGATTCCCAAACATACTTTTTCTCCATGTTTGCGTACAATACGGGTGAGGTTTTGAAATTGAATAGATTGTGGGTGTAATGTGTACGAAATGTGTGTTTTATGTGTGTTGTGCTGAATGAATTTAATATTACATCCTCAGCAGTGACTAGGAGTGAATAAAATGAATAAGAGAGCTACTAATGTGGATTTCATCTGTGATGTTTATGTCTTCTCTTGCCTCAAATGCAAAAGTCTGCAGATGATTGTTTCAAAAGGATGAGCCGCACAGTTAGAATTACCGTCTGGCTAATTTATTTAATGTTAGATTTAATGGCGGATGGTGTGTTAGCATATGTTTCTTATTATGTTGCATATGACTTAGAAATTCTTCCTATTGTCTTCAAGCCCAAAACATTTCCATACCCAGAGAGCGAGAAGACGGGAAGTCTAATTGAGTGAATAGAATGTGATACGATTGTTCTCTATGCCTTCTTATTATGGCTCCAAATTTCGATAACTATTCCGTATGGAGAGAAACTATTGTTTCCGCCCATTCAACGTAATGTGAAAAGCGATATTTTGTTCAAAACCCCCCTTCAGAAATGCGATTACATACGCGATCCTTTGACACACCCAAAATGCCAAAAGATAATTAATCACACTTCCTAGGAAGTTCAATTGTAATGATTTATAAATGGCTATGAGATTTCTTTTCCATACCCAACGCCTTTGTGGTATTTTAGAGAAGAGTACAACTATGTGAGAAAAGAAGTGATTTAGTGATTGCAATATTGCATTATTAACTTGAGTAGCTTCTCTTTGTTCTATAGCGCTTTTTTCGTCCCTTTTTCGGGGAGAAAGTTTAGGTGGGATGGATATGGAGTAGAAAACACCCTGAGTTAATGTTGAGGTTTAAGTTTTAATAAAATAGACCAGCTGCTGGGGTGCACTTCTACTCAAAATACTCCGCTTTTGTTCTTTTTCTCCTCCATTTGGTGTATCAGAGTAATTTTGAAACTGCATCTTCTCCAACACTATAAAGGAACTTTATACGTGAAGATGAAGCTTTAAATTGAAAGGGGTGGAGAACTAGTTATTAACAGATCTCATTGTTCTCTGTTTACAGTTTTTAAAGAATCATATTAAATAATTACTCACTTGACTAACTCCAAAATCCAATTATTGAAATTTCTCCAACAATTACGCGAATTAAGTCTAATGCCCTTTTCTCCGTGATGATGAAAAACATGAAATTTCATTATTAAAATCATGCAATTGTGAAAACCAACAACTTAAGCCAGATTTTCCGAGTCTGATGATCCAACAAAACAAATTTTCATCCCAATGTTTTTCATTTCGGATTCTCTCTGGCAGACTGAAAAAAAAATGAGTCCTGTCGAGGTATTCATTCGCAATTTCTTCTCATATTCTCCATGACACATTATTAAGCCCCGCTTTATAAACCTCGAGCTTACACATCAGTTCATTTGAGAAGATCATACATTTCATCATCTGCAAATGGGGCGCACGAGGAGATATGGTTTTCCATATCAGACCCACTTAGGCACATCCATCCTGAAGCGATAATTAAAAAATATTGAGTCTCTTGTTTTTTCTTCCTATCTTGCGAGGCTAAAAGCGCAACTCAATTTAGCGAAAATGTCGGAAAATCCTCTGTAAATCACCCCTCGAAGACAATTCATTCACTCTCTCTCTCTCTCCCCCTCTCTCTGACTCTCTCGGATGGATATTTTTCCAACCATGAGCCGAACAAGGCATTATCTTTTATTTATAGCGATTGCTCGATGAAAGACGAAAGCTTCGGATTGTGGTGAGATGCAAAATGGTGGGCATGAGAAGTACAATTGTGATGAGATAAAAAATTAATATGTTGAAAATGGTATGTGAATTTGTGGAGAGAAATAGGAGGTGGAGGCTGTTGAACAAATGAAATTGTTTTGTCTTGAGTGTTTTGCTAACATACTGTAAACATAGGTAGATATACAAAACCTCTTCTGTGCACCGTCCTTCAGACAATATTGGTACTGAGAAAACGCAAAAACACTGCTTCTCCTCTCTCTTGTGCCGACAACACACGACACTCACACTTACGCTCACGCTCAAATTCCAAAACCCCAGTTGAAATTGTCATCATTTCTTATGTATTTATATTTCATCCCTCATCCCCACTGCCTTTAAGCATTGAACGAGCGGAGGAATGCTTTTTCCTCGTGGACCACACAGCCGTTCTCAGTTCAAATATTGCGCTGAATGAGGAGGAAAATATCATGCCATATGTCAAGGCGACTGGGAACAAAACAAACTCTTCATGACATTTATAGAATTACATGGGACGACAGTACATTAAAATGGAATGAAAGTATCATTTCCCATTTACTACAAACTCCATTCATTAAGATATACACTGGACGAAAATTTATAATCTTCCAAAATATCTTTCATTCGCAATTCAGCAAAAACAGACGCACAGTCATCGTGAAAATTGCTTCTCAAACTATGCATTTAATTAGAGTGGGAGACAGAATTTCTCCTATTAAATTCAATCGTGTGTGTATGTTACTCAACTTTTATTACTCTCCTCATATGGAGTCTTCAAACCCCCCCCCCCCCAAAACACACCCCTCTGAATTGTGGTGTATGTCAAAGAAATGCTCTCCACCCTCGGGCGCAGGAACACATTCAGCAAGAAAATTCACCCACGGATGCTACACGATGTACATCATCAAATAAAAAGGTGAATTTCTCAACACAATACAAAACACCCCCACAGGTCCCGATTGTATCTCTTCTTTCTCTATCCAACAGCCAAGTAAAGCCAACAAGTCAGAGTCACTCTGAATCCTTTCTCCTCTCTGACGTTCATCCGTATTCTAAACGCATCAGCAATTTTGCAGAAAACTACCCAGCAACAGTCAAACACACGGCCGCACTATTGAATCGCCATCGTGAATTGGCTGCCTTCTCAGGTCCTTTAATTCATCACGCCCTCCCATTTCGCCCCCTTCGACAATCTCATTTAATCTCGTGAATTAAAAATGAAAAACCACACGTGGAAATCATACGTCGTCTAATGGAAAAGTTATATCACATTATTACTTATGAATTTATTAAAAGGTTTGCTTCTCACAGACACACA